TCGTGCTCATACTCGTGCTCATGTCTCAACAATGCACTTCGTACACTTGCACTCTTGCACACTTGCAATTACCAATTCTCCTCCGACCCGCGTAAAACGCATCAGGTCTATCACTTCGAGATCGATCTCTGACCTGCGTAAAACGCATCAGGCTCATGACACAAAACCCGCGTAAAACGCCTCAGGTTGGTCATCTTCCGGTAGTCCGGGCATCGTCCCGCGTAACACGCCTCAGGACGGGTTCAATACCCCGCGTAAAACGCCTCAGGGCTTTATGTGATCACACATTCACAATCACCAATTATTATCTGAACCCCGCGTAAAACGCATCAAGGCATTTTAGATGATCACATGCTCATGTCATTCGTGCATACTCGCATATGCACATGTCATGCCAAGGTTCGAGATGCACACTCCTAACAAGCACCAAACAACACACTATCCAAAACATAAATGACTTAGGCCCTCGGGCCCAAATCTAATACTTACTTGGCCCTGCAGGTTAGGCACTTTATAAATTCACAATAATCACACAGAACCCAATCGTGTCACATGCACACATCGCTTGGTCACAACGCATGTCATGCATATGCTCGTGCTCATACTCGTGCTCATGTCTCAACAATGCACTTCGCACACTTGCACTCTTGCACACTTGCAATTACCAATTCTCCTCCGACCCGCGTAAAACGCATCAGGTCTATCACTTCGAGATCGATCTTTGGCCTGCGTAAAACGCATCAGGCTCATGACACAAAACCCGCGTAAAACGCCTCAGGTTGGTCATCTTTCGGTAGTCTGGGCATCGTCCCGCGTAACACGCCTCAGGACGGGTTCAATACCCCGCGTAAAACGCCTCAGGGCTTTATGTGATCACACATTCACAATCACCAATTATTATCTGAACCTCGCGTAAAACGCATCAAGGCATTTTAGATGATCACATGCTCATGTCATTCGTGCACACTCGCATATGCACATGTCATGCCAAGGTTCGAGATGCACACTCATAGCCATAAAGTTCACACTTGGGCATTCAAGAATTTCACAATGAGCATTCAATTGCACAACACCACTTGTTCAATTCACAACGCAATATGCTCAATTCAATATATCACGAGCCTAACTAATTAAATCATCCAGTCCAGCCATGGCACAAACTTGACACACGAAAACACGAAATTAAATCATTAAAATTCACAAGTCCATGACCCCCAAGGCTCCCTCAAGTCACGGCCACATAAATACTCAACATGGCATCAAACTACTAACGTAAATTCGCGTTCAATTCAACCTCCTCATGGTCCGCTCACAAAACACGCGACGATTTCCACTAAGGCCATGATTAATCAAATATGGCCCGGATTCAATCCACACTAAATCAGCCATGAACAGCCCACCTTAGGCCACTAAATTCACTTCCAAATCACCACATTAGACCACAAGAATTACCATGAAAACAACCACCATGCGGTCCACAAATTACATCCGCCAAATCCACAATTTCGCCCAAATCAAGGCTCCTAAGCTCAGCCACCGCACAGCATTATATGGGCCACTAAACCTCAATTAAATTATCATCATAAGCCACCAAATGAGTCACAATATCAGCCCCTAACATTCTCCACCATTTAACCCCTAAATTACCCTAATTAACCCCTAAAACTCATCTAGAAATGTAGATTAGCCTAACTAGGGTTTAGGGTTGTACTCACTTGAATTCCTAAGCTCCCAACTAAGCCGAACAGGTGGGGAGAATGGGCGGGCTGAGTTGAGGCACGGCGGCTCCTCGGCGGCAGTTCAAACGGCGGAGAGGGGAGAGAGAGACACGGCGAGAGGGAGAGGAGAGGGGGATGGGGCGGTGATGGTGAGGCGAGATGGGTGGTCGGCGGTGGCCCCGGCTCCGGCGAGCGGCGGCTTGCTCCGGCGAGCGGCTTCACGCGGCCGAGCAAGGAGACCGGCGAGAGGGAGAGCTCACGGGAGAGGGAGAGAGGAGGGGATGGCCGGTGGTGATGGGAGGAAATGAGGGGGAGAGAGAGAGACTAGAGAGTGTATAGAGAGAGTGAGTGAGTAGACTGGTTGAGCTACTAACCCACAAATGACCATCATGACCCCTAATCCAAGGGTTGGGATTAATCTAGACAAAATATCTAAGGGCATTATGGTCCTCAATTTCCAGCATTATTGGGCTGAAACAAGCTAATATAAAACCCCAAAATATTCCCCAAATAATCCCAAAATTCGGAATCCAAGCTTAGGGCACAAGGGCAAAACGGTAATTTTCCGGTCCCGGGTCGAATTTCCAATTTTCGACTCTACTAATCCCAAATATGATTGGCCACATAAAAATGACATCGTCCTTGCAAAAATAGTCGCGCACGCTCACGAAATTCGACACCGAAGTCCGGACTCAATTCCACGATCGATTTAGCTCAATTTGCAGTTTTAGCGTCTCTCACTAACGGGCGGCTATTTAGGGGTTACGCGTATCGACCTAGGGTTACTCGAGTCGTGACGATGTCGATTTCCCAGAGAACACGAGGATTTATCACTAGTCCCGGGGGTCGCGGTCGTTCAGAATAAATTCGGGATCGTTCGCCGCGCGCGTACTCTTGGTCGTGCGGAATCACCCGCTATCCGATCGTACGCTGTCGGCCAAACCAAATCCGTCACCCTCCTTGGACCGGCCCACATTGGCACAAAATATTCTCTCGTCGTATCTCGGAATCGGACTCAATTCACGGTCGAGTTCTTGTGTCCACGCACCGTTTTCCTAGTTAGCCTTTCCCTATTGGTCAGTATCCCGAGAATGATCAGTTCCGAGCGAGACTTACTAAAACGAAATGAGAAATAAATCAATTTCATTGATTACGAAAGTGGGTCGAATTCGGGACGTTATACGATGTTGTCGGTTTCTTGATTGCCGTACATATTTTCTAAAGTCCCTATTTTTAGTAAAATCACTACCTGCTCTGTAAGATTAAATCGTGAAATCTCCAACTATAAAAAAAGATGCTAAAAAATATCACCCATCTTTTTGTAAGTGATAAACAAATTGAACAAGACCTTAGTGGTATAAAAATAGGTCTACAATGGAAAACTTCACTACCCCTATTTTAAATTACACTATAGTTCAATAATGTCTTTTTCATATCAAACAGTTAAAAACGTAACACAAAAGCTAATAAATAAAATTCACTAATATGCCATCAAGGCACAAAAAAAAATTACTAATAAGAAAACCTAAAATAAATCATCAGCTGTCATCTCGACATCTTGATTGAGATTGTAACTGGTCCCATTGACCTTCCTAATCAAATTCATTATCAAACACAAAATCAGTATTAATACTACCAACAAATTTGTCGCTGAAGTGCTATATGGAGTTTGGGGTTAAATATTTTAGGCTAGGCTTTACTAATTTCGGCCCAAATTTAATTTTTGTATGGGCTACTTTTGTGAATTAACGTGCAGGAATAAAATTTTATGATCTTGACGGGCAATCTAAAATGGTTTTATCTGTAATCCAATTTCAGTATGGTTGAGATCGTTTAGTACATTTGCTATGATCTAAATCACTATCGTAGGTCATCAATCGTATGATATAAATCATGATTCTAATAACCATGTTACCATATGCTACTAGAACCCGATCCGAAGTGTTTTCTATCAATTGGAGTGCTCTACCTATTTGAACATATATACTAGTAGTAAATCTGTGCCTTCGGCACGATAGGAATATTGATAATTATTTTGCCTAATCCTTTAGTTCATATTTAAAAAGTAGAAAATAATAAATAAGTAAAGAATTCATATTTTTTTTGTTTTTGTTTGAAAATGTGGTATTTTGCAACAATTTATCGTCAAAACGTGCTTACTTTCTTTATTAGTAACATGAGGGATATGCATTGAGCATATGGTTTTATAATCTTATGAAGAAAAACATTCAAATATGTAAGACATTTTTCAAAAGAGTTTGAGACATCACGTGGTGAATTTACATTAGTTTGGAAACACATAGATAGTTTGATAAATAACTTGATAAATAACAATTACTATGTCATGTCAAGAAATTTACAATACATGAACATTAGGTAAAAGTTAAATTAAGTGCGAATATGTGACTGGGGCATATGAGGGATTACCAATTTAAAAACTAGAGGTTATCCGTTCAAATCCCATCAACAACGTGCGAATTACTCCATGCCAGGGGCACTGCACGTACTAAAAATCTAAACCTAAATGGTTCATGGGACTTACAGAATATTCCATGGATCAAGAAATCGGGTCTCCACCCTCGTGACCCAACATTATAAAGAAAAAAAATTTCATTCAAATTAAATGTGGGATCTTTGTGTAGTTAGTTCGTAAATAATATTTACATTACAATATTGTCCATTATATTGAACATACCATTACAATTTATTTCTAACGATAATACACGTGCCGTTTTTCATGATATAAGTAAATATCATATATATTGCAATATTTTCATTCATACGGAGCATTGCATGTAATAACACATTACAAACAAAGCCCAGAGATGCTTGGACATGCTTGGATGGACTTATTGAAAGTATTCATGACATTGTCTCCGAATTTAAAAACTATTTTCTTTCAAAAGTTTACTAAAAGATTTTACACAACTCTAAATAGATTTCAAATATCAATATGTTTAACTCAAAATCATTAAGGTGAATAACATTATTTAAAAGTCAAATCTAAAAAATTACAAGTAAAAAGTAAAAGTACAAAACAATGTTTAACTATGTTTATCCCATTGAAAATTTTGTCAAATAAGCAGCACAACATGCATTTTTTATAAATTTTTAAGATAAGATTTAAGATTATAGAAATATCTTTTAATAGATAAAAATTGTGAAGTAACTCTTATAGTCGAAGTAACAAGCGGACTCTGCCTAGTTATCACAAAACCTTATCACATTCGTGCAGTGGAGCTTTAGGGGGTTCTCCAAGTTCAATCAAAGAGACTCTTCATTATGGAGAAGTTCATCTTTTTAGCATTTCTAGATGTTCTGTTCGCTTCCTTATTGATGTTTCAGCCCATCATTTGTTCCAGCAACTTCACTGATCAAGAGGCTCTCCTCCACTTCAAATTGGCGACCGAAGTCGACCCGACAACACGATCAAAGGTGGCAATCGGACTGTGGAAGCTAACTTCTGTGAATGGACGGCAGCAACCGCAGGCAGAGAGTCACGACTTTAGACCTCTCCTCCACCGGTCTCCAGTGAAAAGTCTCTCCTTACCTTGGCAATCTCTCATTCTTGGCTTCTCTTTGATCTTTGCAACAACAGTTTCTATGCCACGGTTTCAGATAAAAACGGTACTTTACGCCGCCTGAAAGACCCGGTACTCCAGTCAAACCAGTTCAAAGGAAACATTCCTCCTCACTTAACGCTGTGCCAAAATCTTGAATTGATGTCACTTGCTGTGAATAGGCTAACGGTGGCATATCGAGAGAATTTGGCGCCTTCCCAAAGTTGCAACAACAGTTTAGTGGCTTCAACAACTTACAGGGTCAAATTCTGAGCTTCCTGGGCAGCATATCCACAGGTTCGATTCCTTTTGACACTTTTCAGTAGGTCGCTCATAAGTGTCAGGTTGACGTATAATGATCTTTCGGGGAGTCTTCCCTCCAATCTATGCTACCGCTGGCCTGACATTCAGAAGCTTTTGCTGTCTGAAAACCAATTCAGTGGCCTGTTACCAGAGACACTAACCCAATGCAAAGTGCTTGCAAAAGCTGCAGGAGCTCCATCTCGGTCCAAACAACTTGACTGGTACGATACATCGAACCATCAGTAACATGTCAAGTTTGGACCAACTGTACATAGAATATAACTGCATCGGAGGTGACACTCAAAGTGAGATTGGCATTTTTGTCAATCTGAATGAAATGAGCCTTCAGGATAATTTGCTAACAGGCAAAGTGCCTCAAGAGGATTTCAATATTATTTTGCTCCAACTGCTTTCTTTGATGGACAATTCCCTCTCCGGAAGCCTTCCCTCAGGTAGCGATCTAAGCCTTCCGAATTTGGAAGAAATCTTTCTAGCAAACAATGGCTTTGCCAACAACATCCTGAAGTATTTTTCGAACCTAATTTTTATTGATGCCGGGATCAATCAACTCAGCGGACTAATACCTATGAGTTTGGGCAACTTGAAGAACCTTAGATACTTCACAGTTCAGTCTATTAGCTAACAGGAGAGACTTGTGGTTCGGAGCTCAGTTTTCTCTCTGCTTTGTCTAATTGCCAATCCCTGCAGACCTTGGTTCTGGAAGAAAACTGGCTTTGTGGCTCCACACTGGAATCTATCAAAAACTTCTCAACTTCCCTACAAATTCTAGTCACTCCCCATTGTCAAATAACAGGTCACATTCCCAATTAAATGGGTTTCTTGAAGAGCTTGACTTTCTACAGTTGAGCGATAACAATCTAGACGGCAACATCCTGTCATCTATTGGAGGACTACAACAGCTTGCAAAGGCTGTACCGTGATAACGGCCATCTCGAGGGACCGATTCCCCTTGAGATATGCAACTTGACAAGTTTAGGATAGTTGCTGCTCCAGCAAAATAGTATATCAGTGTCCATCTTAAATTGCATTGGAAACAACTGGTCAGTCCGTGGAGCCTTCAAGAACTCATATTCCTCAATAGTCACAATTCTTTCAATGGATGACTACCACTTGAGATGGGGAAAATGACAGCTATAGAGAGCAATGATCCTTCTTGGATCGACTTAACAGCGCCATACCAAGTTCCATCCAGGAGTTGAAGAGCCTTGCTTCTCTTAACTTGTCAAAGAACTGGTTTCTAGAATTGATACCGCAATCAATTGGTGACCTCAAAGGATTGGATTTCCTCGACCTCTCCTACAACAAGTTATCCGGCACGATACTCAAGTCCCTGGAAGGACTAACATATCTGCAAAAATTGAACTTGTCCTTTAATAAGCTATTAGGAGATATTCCTAATGGCAGAACCTTTGGAAATTTTTCGATTCTCTCGTTCATTGGAAATAAAGCACTTTGTGAAAATGCAATTTTTCAAGCCCCACTGCGCAAAGTAAATAGAAAGAAATCATTAAGGGACAAGCGGCTCCGGTTACTATACATTATGATGCCAATTGTATCAGCTATACTTTTAGTCTTTGTCATTTGCTTGCTCAGAAAGCGACTAAACACTGGTAAAAAAGGTCTCCTGCAATTAACCACCTGATAATATCATATCAGGAGCTCTACTCGGCTACTAACAACTTCAGCGAAAGCAATTTGCTCGAAGCAGGAAGCTTTAGCTCTGTACACAAACGGACTCAGGCCAACGAGATAGACGTTGCGGTCAAATTACTGAATTTCCATATCAAAGGCGCTCTGAAAAGTTTTGCACAGAATGTGAGGTTTTCTGCATAATTGGCACCAAAATCTCGTCAAGATGATCAGTAGCCACACAAACACTAATCTGAGAGCTCGGGTGCTGCAATATGTGCCCAATGGTCCACTATAACTTGAGTCTCCATCCGCGAGTGAATATAACGGTCGACGTTGCAAAGGCACTCGAATATCTCCACCATGGCCAACTGGAACATGTTGTGCACTGCGATCTGAAGCCTAGCAATGTCCTTCTAAATGAGGACCTTGTTGCACAAGTCTGACACTTTGGAATCATGAAGATTTTTGCCGAGAACAAGATTGAAACAAGATAGAGTTGTCACTTCCTTGACAAGAAAATAAGGTGGAGAGCTGTTCATAGAAATTGAACATAGCATTATCTTAGTTTTGTACATAGTAACTTCGTTTCAATGGCTTTGTGTCTAGACATCTGCAGCAAAGTTCCTACTCTTCTTTTGAGACAAACCTTCTTTCCCTTTCACAATTATGATTGGAAAATTAGCATTCCTTTTTGTTTCGCTTGAACTAGAAAATCAACATCCTCGTAGATAGAATATCACTCACACGGTAATTGTCGATGTTGACGTGTTGCCTGAGAAAGTTCGCCATCTTTTGTTGCTCGCTGAACTTTGCCTTTAGTTGAAAGAGGTCAATGCATAAGTTGAACTTTCCAGTTATATCACTAAAAACAAATATTAAGCTTTTAAAGTTCGATCTGCAATCAAGTAACTCCCTTGATTTTCTTTTTTGCTTCACCCGTTTGTGCCCAGCCCCATCATGTAGTTGGGCCACGCTCTCTTTTCCTTGGCCTCCACTAAATTTCCTCGTGTCGCACATGTGGCGCAAGTGTGTCGTTGCCCCTCGTCGCCATCTACGTCACGTCGCCGTCTACTTCATTAATCCTTTGTATCTCCATCTCTCTCGCCACAGAACTACGCTTGGTGTATTTACCGAAAAACTGTTCCATCTCCTCCAGCGTCTGCCCTTGTATCTACCACATCATCGTGTAGAAAAGCTCCCACGTGATGCTCGTGATTGCCACAAAAAAGAAGAAGGCCCCATTGATGGTGATTGCCTTGTATAGCGATAAGAACATCATTAATAATACTCCGCTCACCATCCCGTTCACCGCCATGTCGGCTACACACCGCTGAGCACGTAGCCTTTGCGGGAAGATCTTCGAGCTGTACACCCATCGGTCCCACCCTAATGGAGAAGAATGCTACGTAGTACAACACCGAGGCAATACGTATGGCCACCGCCCATAACAGTTTCATGTGGCTATGGTTGCTGATGTTGAGGCACATTCTGAGGGAGGCGAGTGAGAAGATCATCCCGTCGAAACTATTTAGCAACAATAGCTATCGCCCGGCCTATGTCGAGAAAGGTGGCAATGAGGAAGAGCATTGTCTTTTCGAAGCCAACTGCAATGGCGTAATGAGCTTTTTATCGTAGGAGGTCATGTTGGCCTTCTCGAAAATGCAAGCGCCGTAGAGGATGACAGCATCGATACCAAGGGCCTACGGAAAGAAGTGGATTCTAACAACGTAAATAAGGATGTGGCGGACAGACAGGGTCAAGTGGAGGATGAGATCCCACCACACGCCGTCCCCAATGCTCCGCTTGGTGACATTGACAATGTTGTCATTGCACTCCTCAGGGATTTTGTTAATGCATCATTTATGCAAACTTCTCAATCCGTCTTTAGTTCGTAGAAATGTCCCTTTATTAAAACACCTGATGAGTGCAATGACGACGTCGTCAAGGTCACCAAACAAAGCACTGAGGAGAGTGTATGGCAGGAGCTCCTCCTCCACCCTACCCCATCCATCCACCACATCCTTGTCTACGTCGTTGGTATCCAATTCTTCTAAAATGCCAATGGCATAGATGCCGTCGTCCTTTACAACACTCGTATTTTCGAGAAGGCCAGCATTACCTCCTTCGACAAAAAACTCCTCATGATAAAATCATTGTAGTCAGCTTCATAAAGACAATGATTATCCTCATCGCAATCTTCTACCTCGACCAGGTGGGGAGCCGACCGTTGCTGACAAGTAGCATCGGTGCGACGATCTTATTGCTCGCCTCTCTCGGAATATGCCTCACCATCATCAACCACAGCCACACGAAGCTTATGTGAGCAGTGGCCATTTCCATCACCTTAGTGTTGTCCTGCATGATCTTCTTCTTGATCAGGATGGGGCCAATCATATTGGTGTGTAACTCGGAGATCTCCTCGCTGAGACTGCATGCGCAGAGATACGCAATCGACGTTGCCTTGAATTGGGTGGTGAGTGGAGTGTTATCAATGACGTTATTATCGATTTTATAAGGTGATTGCCATAGACGGGGCCTTCTTCTTTTTTGCAGTGATTGCGAGCATCGCGTAGGTGTTCTTCTACATGATAATGTCAGAAACGTTGGGGCAGATGTGGGAGGAGATGGGTCAGTTTTTTGGTAAATACACCAAGTGGAGGTCTGCGGCGAGGGAGATAGAGCTGCAAAGGAATAATGGGGTCCACGATGACGAGACGGAGGAAGTTGCGAGTTCTTTAGATCTCAGTAGGTAGTGCAGATTTGAATATGGTCATCACTCAGCAATCTATCTCGATACTGATGATGAATGGCATTCGAATAAGTGCGAGATTAATACTAAGATGATTGACCTATACAACCACTTTAACAAGCAGACAACATCATATCATATTAATGCCTATGTAACATTATCTGGTCACATTGTTTATTAAAGAGTATGATATATGGCAGCGTGACCTCTTTTTGGAAGCTATAGCAATCTTGTTCATCGTCAGTGCTTAGGGGATTACAGTCCTTTCTTGGTGCAAGTTGGTTGACGTTGAGTGCATGACTATCTTTCAACCCGCATAACCAAAGCTGATAATCATCCCAAATCTAATATTACCATCTACAAAAAATATAAAGCTCTAACCAAGACCTCCAAATCGTAAAAATCAAGTGAGAACAATGACCTACCTCTTGGATAGCTTGTTCGGCGCACCACCAATGACCTTGGTGATGCGGAGGAGGGCGAGCTCGGCCTTGAGCTCACCCAAAAACTCACGTTCACAGCAACAGTGATAGTGGTGACAAGCTTGGTGATGATCCCATCCCAATCCTATTCATAAACATAAGAGCAACGATGACAGCGAAGAGAAGCATATTGCCAGAAAGCAATTACCATGAATCACCTGGTCATGATGCGGAAGATGAATACGAACATCGATCGACAATTCGATTGCCTTAATTCTGACAAAACAAAGGAAATTGGTGAACCAATCGGAAGCTGGTCACAAACGATCGAACGCCAGGCCAAGGCGCCTTCGTACTCTTGTCCAAATCTTGAATCGACGGGGAAAGAATGTACGCTCGCCCGTCTCTTGAAGTGGCGCGGTCAAGACCCTGGCCGTGTGCACTTCTCCTAAAAGCGTGAACTCTCAAAAACCCATCTCGCCAAATTTCTTCCTCCTCTCAAGAACCACGGGGCTAAGGATTCGAGTGAAATTTGAAAAGAAAATTGCGATCTTCAAGAATCCCACTATAACAAATAAAGGTGGCTGTGGAGATGAGTTCATGCTTCAAAAATTGAAAGCCCAACGAATTCTATCTTCTTGCAACAACATACGAGCCAACATGCAAGATTTCCCAGGTTCCTTAATCCGAAGTCCACTCACCTTTGGTAACCGATTTCTTTCAAAAGAGAAGTTCCGATCCAAAAATCTCCTTTGGCGCTATTTTCAAATGTCAAACCGGCGATCGGTTCTTGGCCTGGATCAATCTTGTCTTATTTTGATTCAAATCAAACTCACTTGAGATAACCACTTGGATTCTTGAGCGAATGTTCCCCATCAGATTTGCTCTATCCCTTTTGTTCTTCACCACACCAAGATTTACGGCCACTATTGTTATCTTCATCTTTTGAATTCATGAGCATGCGATGGCCGGCTATCTATAGGAGGTGATCCCATGTGCGATAGTCTGTGGTAACGTCATGGAGAGGCCATGAGATTTGCACGTGCAATGCATGGTGTGAATGAGATCCAAATGTGATCTATGCAAATGGTATTTTTGTTTAGGGATCGATCTCTAA